TGAAACGCAGAAAAAACAGGAGAAAACAAGAGAAAAAGTACAAAAACAGCAGAAAACACCATGATCGGAAAAGAGCGTGTCACCTACTACTACTACTACTACTACTACTACTACTACTACTACTACTACTCCACTACTACTACTACTACTACTACTACTACTACTACTACTACTATTACTACTCCTACTACGACTACTACGACGACTACTACTACTACTACTACTACTACTACTCCACTACTACTACTCCTACTCCTACTCCTACTCCTACTCCTACTCCTACTCCTACTCCTACTCCTACTCCTACTCCTACTACTACTCCTACTACTCCTACTACTCCTACTACTGCTACTCTACTGCCACTGCTACTAGTACTACCAAAAACTACGACGACAACGACTATTAAAACCACCGCTGTCCTCTTTGAAAGGCGAAGTTCGCGTGTAGCGCGCGCCGTTCTCAGAATGGGGGGGCCGCAGGCTCGTTGCTGAATTTAGGGCAGTGTAGAGGGTGTAATGTTTAGGGTTTAGGGTTTAAGGTTTAAGGTTTAGGGTGTACTTGAAGATTCATGAATAGTTGCAAAAGTAGGGTGGGTTTTGCCTGGTGGGGTGCACGCCCCTAATACCTAAACACCCCTGATATGGGTCCTTGTCGTTGGTATGTATTCCTTGGGCCACAGGTATCCCAACCAAGACTTCCCCTTGTGAAGCTGTCTTCTAAGCGCTCTTACTTCAGGGGTCCTGGGGGGCGGCAAAGGCCACGAGTGCTGCGCAAGGCATTGCGGATCTAAACCCTAAACTTTAGACCTTAAGCCCTAGTATATCCCAACGCCTTAACGCCTCAAGGCACTCGAGTCTGAAACGGTCTATATGGAGCTAAGTCGAAAAGTAAACAAGGCAACTGTTTGTGGCACCTTTTGAGCTATCACGCTGTAAACCGTCCTCCTTGGCGTCAACTTCGTCCTTGATTTTCTTGTACTCTGGGAACTCCTGAGTCGTTCTGCCAAACAAACAGGGGATGCTTGCTGAGGGTCGTGTAAGGGCTGTGCACTGAAACTATCTTTGGGAGGCTGTATTGCTGATGACCACTGTTGCTGCAGGTCTCAAGCCACCGAAAGTAGTGGAACCTAAACCCTAAACCCTAAGCCCTAAACCCTAAACCCTGAACGTGAAGACTGAAATAAAATTATAACATCCCAACTGGGGATGGCAGGGGATGGCCCGGATGGCGGAGCGGAGGCAAGATGAGGGTGGGGGGTTCAGGGTTTAGGGTTTAGACTCTACAGGCAAAACGCGAAACCCTAAACCCGAAATCGGGTTTGGGGGTTTGGGGCTGTGCTGCACCTCGGCAACTTCGTCTTGGGTCACCTTCATCTGCGCAGTGGTCAGCACCGTGTTGGTGAGCCAGTACACACCTTAGATCCCATGGAATGGGAGGTCGCAGCTCTAGACTGTAGACTACCTAAACCCTAAAGGTCCTAAAGTCTCGAAGCCCTCAAAGGGTTTAGGGTCCCAGGTTTTATCCCCTTTTTGCACAGCTGGCTCCAGTGGGCGCGGAACCCCCCCCCCCCCCTAAAAAAAAAACACTCAAGGGATTCCGACTGTTGCGAATATCAAGCTTTAAGCCCTAAAACCTAGCACAGGTTTTTGAGGTTATCCTGGCAGGGGTTTTGAATCCTCGGGGGCATTCTGGGCTTCTAGGGCTTTCCTGAGAGCTCCTGGGGTTCAAGGTTTCGGGTTTAGTGAGAGGCCTTTGAGAACCAGTCTAAGCCTAAACCTTAGGATTCAAGGTTTAAGGATGTTTAGTTTTGAAACCACCGAGTGCTTCGATCTGCTGTACACAGCAAGCACCGATGAAAAGCTTCTCATGTATCCCGCCAGCGTAAATCTCAGTGTTTGACAACTCCAGTGAGAGTAGGAACGGGGCTGTTCAAAACATCACAAGTGTTCCTCCCAGCATGGGGGCAAGTCTCTTGAACTCCCTTTGGGAACTTGCATCCAACCTGCCATCCGCCTGGAAGTACAGCTGCGCTGCATTCAATTCTTTAGCCCTCTGCACAGAGAATCATCGTGCCGAGCGACCGTATCGAGTACTGCCATAAGCCAACAAGGGCGATCTTCTCAAGATATGGGAACCCTTATACAACTCTTGTAGGCCCTATGAGACCCAAGGTGTGCAAAGGGCACATACTTGAGAACCCTATAGCCTTTATGGGTTCCTGAAAGGACAGGTTGGGGTAACCAAGATAGCCCCTATTCTACACCCCCAAACCCTACAACTCCTAATTAGTCCCTTTTGTCATCCAACGCTTTTATTTGTGTTTTTTGTTTTTGTTTTTTTTCTTTTTGGGCGGGGGGGGGGGGGGGTCATCCAACCCTAAACCATAAGTCCCTGATTTGATTTCGTTTGCATCCCTAAGCCCAAAACCCAAAACCCCTAAATCCTTGTTCCTTGGTAGCCCAGGAATCATATTCTTTCAGGGCACCTTCCTGTTGGGGTTGGTTACTTTATAAGGGAACCCCCAACCAAAAAGGGTAAAAAGGATACCACTGACTGGGCTACAAAGATTCTCGACCCCTGAAGCCAAAACCCCTATACCCCTAACCCTAAACCCCTAAACCCCCCTAAACCCCCTAAACCTAGGGTTTAGGGTTTAGGGTTTAGGGTTTAGGGTTTAGGGTTTAGGGTTTAGGGTTTAGGGTTTAGGGTTTAGGGTTTAGGGTTTAGGGTTTAGGGTTTAGGGTTTAGGGCCCCCGAAACCTTCCCTGAAAGCCTTACCATTGCCAGGCCAAAGTGCCGACGCCCGAAGGAGACACGAGGGTCGAGATGCCGATGAAAAGCCTCGGAAGGGTGGGGGGGCTTAGGGTTTAGGGTTTAGGGTCTAGGGTCTAGGGGTCTAGGGTTTAGGGTTTTAGGGTTTTAGGGTTTTAGGGTTTTAGGGTTTTAGGGTTTTAGGGTTTTAGGGTTTTAGGGTTTTAGGGTTTTAGGGTTTTAGGGTTTTAGGGTTTTAGGGTTTTAGGGTTTTGGGGTTTTGGGGTTTTGGGGTTTTAGGGGTTTAGGGTTTCAGGGTTTCAGGGTTTTTCAGGGTTTCAGGGTTTCGGGTTTGAGGGTTTGTTTCAGGGTTTGAGGGTTTCAGGGTTTCAGGTTTCAGGGTTTCAGGGTTTCAGGGTTTCAGGGTTTCAGGGTTTCAGGGTTTCAGGGTTTCAGGGTTTCAGGGTTTCAGGGTTTCAGGGTTTCAGGGTTTCAGGGTTTTCAGGGTTTCAGGGTTTCAGGGTTTCAGGGTTTCAGGGTTTCAGGGTTCAGGGTTTGGGTTTAGGGTTTCGGGTTTAGGTTTATAGGGTTTTAGGGTTTAGGGTTTTAGGGTTTTAGGGTTTTAGGGTTTTAGGGTTTTAGGGTTTTAGGGTTTTAGGGTTTTAGGGTTTTAGGGTTTTAGGGTTTTAGGGTTTTGTTTTAGGGTTTTAGGGTTTTAGGGTTTTAGGGTTTTAGGGTTTTAGGGTTTTAGGGTTTTTAGGGTTTTAGGGTTTTAGGGTTTTAGGGTTTTAGGGTTTTAGGGTTTTAGGGTTTTAGGGTTTTAGGGTTTTAGGGTTTTAGGGTTTTAGGGTTTTAGGGTTTTAGGGTTTTAGGGTTTTATGGTTTTAGGGTTTTGGGGGTTTGGGGGTTTGGGGGTTTGGGGCTTTGGGTGGACGAGGGCGTTAGATTTTTTAAATCCCGCGCGCAGCGCTGGGGTTTAGGGTGGTTTACGGTCGAGGTTCGGAAGTGTTGTTTGTCAACCTCCCTAAACGCTTCCTAGACCCTAAACCCTAAACCCAAACCCTAAACCTCGGGTTCTCACAGAGGGTATCTTATACCTACACTTGCTAAAAGGGTTCCACTGTTGCACCCAATTACCATGTGAGGGTGAGCTTTGGGTCTCTTTCTTGGGTCGCCTCCATGAGAGGCCCCGTATCAGACATGCTCAAAGGCTTGGAAAATCAGCAACCCTCTCCGAACAAGGGTACCCCTTTCCTTTGGGCTGGTTACTTTTTTCAGGGAACCTTGAACCCAGAAAAAAGGGTACAGGGCACTTCTGGGATTCCCAAAGGGGTGACCCTAACTTGGAGAACTGGCCATACAACTTCAAGGGGACGTGCTGCTTGGGGCCAAAAGGGTTTAAAACCAAGGAGCGAACAGCAAAGCTCCTATCCTTCTCCCTCGAGCCTGTCCGTGAACCCCAAGGCTTTTTTTGGGGGGCCTTGAAGATGAGATGAGTGTTTTAAGGTTGCTGGTGTTTAGGGCTACAATGGGTTGAGCCCTCCACACCCCATGCACCCTTAAAACCACTTTGCCTTATGCGCCCTAGCCCGATACAGTATCGCATTACTGCCGACGAGCCCTATGCGCATGATCGCTACAAGCCCAAACCTCGGAAGCCGTTCTGTCTCAAGCGACGGGAAGAGGACACCATTTGTGGAGTTCTCCGATGAGGACGAGGACAGCCTGACCACCCAGTCAGCTACGATCTCATGTTTACTTGAGGAGAGTTGAACTCCGATAAGCTTACGTAGAACCCGAAAGCCCGATAAAAACCCTAAACCCGAAGGACTATGAGCCTAACAGGGTCAACGCCTCTCAGCAGCATGTGTGGAAAATTCTAAGCCCTACCATGACAGGCCGCGTGCAGGGGTCTGGGTCTTCTTTTCTTAAACCGGGTACTAAGAGGAAGCAGAGGTTGACGCGTCATGCGGCGCTTCTGCTCGACCTGCCTTGACGAGAGGAACTGGGCCACAAAGACCAACCTAGGCTGCCCAGTAACCAAGGCTTAAAAAGGGTGCCCTGTTTTGCTTAAAGCGGTTTATAAGGGAACCTAAACCCCCCAAAAAGGGAATAAGGGTACTACTGGGCATCCTAGCAACCTAAGTATTCGGGGGCAATTGGGTTTGCTGCGACTCAAGGAATGCTTCTTGGCCGGCCACCTGCAGCCGGCTGGAAGCCGACATGTGACCGGGCTCTCTCTCTCCACGAAGCAGGTTCCTGAAAAGATGTTCAAGGCTTGTAGGAAACCCTAAACCCTAAACCCTAAACCCTAAACCGTGGTTTTTCCCATCGGGCCAAGCAGCAAGGGCAGCACGCAGTACATCGCGGCATCCTGCAGCAGTCTCCATGTCAAGCCAAATCCAACTCTGACCTGTTCCCGAACACTACGACACCTCAATGACACCGGGCTCACGCGCGCGGGCTTGACAACAGCATTTACTGGTTCTTGGTAGCGTCTGAAAGGGAACGAGGGTGTTAGGTTCGTTTTGAGGCGAGTATAGGGGATAGACGAGGCACCACCTGTTTCCCTAATTCCCTAGACCGCAATCTCCTGATTCCCTAAACCCTAAACCCTAATCCCTCAACTCCCCAATTCACTAAAACCCTCACCCCCTAACCTTTAATCCCCTACTTCTCTACTAGGATATTTCGATAATATCTTTTCATGTGTTTTTACATTCGGACTATGTTCCTATTATGTTCTTACTAGAAAAATATTCTTGTTTTGTTGAACTGTTATCTGGTCACTTCTCTAAAGTATGGCCCCTTTTGGGGTCATAAGGCGGCCCCCTGTTTTCGGACAGCCAAAAAGGGGCCATATGCCCTAAACCCTAAACCCTAAACCTATGCTCTTTGAAAGCCAGGCGATGTCCTGCCAACCCACCAGTGGCTCAAAAGCCTCGCTGGAGCGGGTCTTCAGAAGCCAATCCAAACCTTTGCCAGGGATTGAGGTTTAGGGCTTAGGGCTTAGGGCTTAGGGTTTAGGGTTTGAGGGGTTTAGGGTTTGAGGGGTTTAGGGGTTTAGGGGTGTAGGGTTTAGGGATTTAGGGTTTCGCTATTTTTGCTTTCGTGTATCTTTGTGGGGTTTAGGGGTTTAGGGTTTCGAGGTTTAGGGTTTGGGGGCTTAGGGCTGTAGATTTTAGGGTTAGGCCTTTTTTGCCACCCGCCGAGCTGACTCACTGCACTATTTGGGGGACTTAGGGCTTAGAGTTCAGGGTGTAGGGCTCGTGGCTGTTCAGTCTCCTCCCCCCCCCCCCCCCCCCCCCCCCCCCCCCCCCCCTCCATGAATCCGGGCTCGCAGCGCCGGCCAGGAAAGTTGTGGGACCCTAAACCCTTGTGAACCCTAAACCCTAAACCCTAAACCCTAAACCCTAAACCCTAAACCCTAAACCCTAAACCCTAAACCCTAAACTTCGAATGTAGCCCACTGCCCTTGATGTTCCAAAACCCGTTTAACTCGGACCTCGGAGCCCTAAACCCTAAACCCCAAACCTACTGTTTGCTTAAGAGCCCCCCCCAAAAACACAAAATAGGATTCCTTGTACGGGCAATCTAGGCATTATTCTTTTATGTTCTTGTGGGGTTCTTCAGAGAATAGTAGAAACCCAAGGAATCGCAAGCCCGTCATCAACCCCACTTAAAAGCCCTGTAAGCCCTCATCTCATAAGCCAGAACTCCTCAAGGAAAACTGCAATCCAGGCTGCTGGGCTTCCCCTGACTCACAGGGCCAGCTAGGCTGGGAATCCAGAGAAATGGCTCCTCAAAAAATCTTTGCATGGCTTGCTGTGGGGGGGGGGGGGGGGATGGGTGTGGTGCAACGCTGCGAGGCACGCAAAGTTGGCCACCTCTTGGCCAGCTAAACCCTAAACCCTAAACCTTAAACCCTAAACTCTAACCCCTAAACCTAAACCTTTTTCAACGAGCAGCGGGACAGCCCCAGCCGACTGGCGAGCCTTCACATGCAGGCTCTAGTGGATATGCAAGGAATAGGTCACTAGCTACCCTGGATAATGCGCATGGTAGCAACTAGACTCTACAGTATATACGACAAAATGTATGTACCTTTCTTTCTAAATAAAAATTATATATACACACATTTAACCTATGAGGATATACAACCGCTTAGCGGAGCCCTATGCTCGGCTTTAAGACTTTAAGATTTCCTCGCAACCCGACTGACAAAAGGGGGGCGGTTTGACAAGGGGGCGGAGAAGCAGGGGCAGGTGCCAGATGCATAGCTCCCACAAATCTAAAGCCTGCAGTCCAAGGGTTCTACCTGGACCCTTGAGGTTGTACCCTTTGCTTTGGGTTGGGGGTCCCTTATTTTAAGTGTTAAGGAATCCTAAGGGGATCTGAAAGGCATATCAGGAGTATATTCAGGGGAACCTTTAGGGGTACAACCTTAGGGGTCCGAGTCTGAATCCCTTGATACAGAGCCCGCCACACCAAACCCCTAAACCCTGAACCCTGGACCCTAAAACCCGAACCCAGCTCTCTGAGCCCTAAACCCTAAACCCCAAACCCTAAACCCTAAACCCTAAACCCCAAACCCTAAACCCTAAACCCCTGAACCCTAAAACCCCCCGAAAGGGGTCCTTGAAGTGGTCGTCCTGGTCGGCCAGGCGCCCGATGGCGCGGAAGAGCGCCACGAAAAGCGGAATTTGGAACCTTTAAGTCGCTTCTTGTTGGTCTGTTTTATAGTACCTTTTGTAGCACTATATTTGTATACTTGCATTTTATACCTCTATATATATATATATGTATGTATGTGTATATGTATATGTATTATATATATATGTGTGTATATATATATATATATATATGTAGGGGGGTGTGGGGATTATGTTGGCAGGGGTTTTGGGGGAGTAGGGAACCATCGAGAAGAAAACAGGCCTCAGCAGCCCAAGAACTAAACCCAAGAGTAACCTAGGAAACAGAAGAGGGGCTCTTTTCTTTACTCCCGTGAGAACCTTAATAGAAATATCATATTACTAATATCCTCTTGTGTTTGATATAAACAAAAATAGAAATAATAATTCCCAAGGGGGATATAAATTTTGGTCTAAAGGACTGAGAACTGAACCTAAACCCGAAAACAAGGGACCCATTGTCTACTCTGGGTCCTAGAGAACGACCAAAACGCGACGAATCTTAAATCGTTTGCCTCCCTATAAAGAAGCACAGCAAGCGAACCCGACACACCGACGTGCTCACCAAAACCCTAAACCCCAAACCATAAACCCTAAACCCTCAATCCTAAACACCCACTGTAGCTCTAAACAGGGGTGTCGTGGTTTCAGGTTCTCAGGTTTCTGGTTTGGTGACAGGTGCAGTTAATGCAACTACCCAAAAACTCTGCACCCTAGTTATGATTCTTTTTTGTTGTTTCCAGACTTTCTGTCCTCATACTGTATGAATATACAAAAGGCCCGAAACCCAAAACCCAAAACCGGAGTTTATGGGACTTGGGAGTCAGCGCACTCTCTGCCACTTGGGGCACAGAATCGGAACCAGCGAGAGGAATGGGTTGAGCCCGACCTCATCCAAGGGTTCAGGGCTTAGGGTTTGGGGTGTTTAGGGTTTTTAGGGTTTATGGTGTTTAGGGTTTAGGGTTTTTAGGGTTCAGGGTGTTTAGGGCTTAGGGCTTAGGGTTTGGGGGGCTTACTTGGAAGCCCCTTTTGAGTTAGCAAGTAAGGTCAGTAAGTTGCTCTCTAAACCTTTGATGGCCATTTTTGCGGCCCTGGCTAGAATACAGTTCCTTCAGTACCCTAAGCCCTAAACCCTAAACCCTAAACCCGAAACCCGAAACCCTAAACCCCGAACTCGGCCATCAATCTAGGAGCTCGCCATATGCTTGGATTGGAGATGGAGTCCCTAGTCCTGTCCTAGGGATTGCTGGACATGGGTGTACCGTTGGATGGTTTAGGGTTTAGGGTTTAGGGTTTAGGGTTGAGGGTTTCGGGCAACCCCCCTTTCTGGCCTAAGTGGCCTACCAAAGCCTTCCACGTGTCCAAAGCCGACACCAAGATATGTGAGGGCCCTGGATTTCGGTTCAGGTCTAGGGTTTAGGGTTTAGGGCTAGGGTTTAGCGTTCCGTGATCTTGGTTTTATGGATCTGGGGTGCACGGGTTCAGGGCTCAGGTGCTCACAAGGGTTTGGGTTCTGGGGCTTCGGGGAACCCTCAGCAAACGCTAAACCCTAAACCCTAAACCCTAAACCCTAAACCCTCAAGCCCGCCTTGGCATAGAGCTCCCGTAGCAGCTTGCCCTTCTTGTCCTTTCCCGGACTCCGGGAGGACCAGATGCCCAGTTTACTTTTAACCCTAAACCCTAAACCCTAAACCCTAGATCCTAAACCCTAAACCCTAATTCCCCTTATACTAACAGTCCTGACTGGGGATTAGAATAGGGGGTACGATAATCCCGATTAAGAGCTGTTCGCATGGGCTTTAGGGGCCTTATTTTGTTGAAAGATCCATTCATGATCAACAAGAGTTAGCAGGAAGACACCATAACTCATCGTAATGGGTTACTTGTTGTCAAGGCATTTTTTGCAAACACCAAAGCCCGAGCTTTCAGACCCTCAACTTGGGGATGGGGGAGTCTGCGGTTCGGGCCTAAGGGTTGCAACCCTACACTCTACACCCTTTTGCAGCAGGGGTGCGGACCCTGAAACCCTCAACCCTACACCCCAAACCCTGAACCCAGAACCCCACACGGCTAAGGTGTTAGGCTTCGGGTCAGGGCATCTTCTTGAGGAGACCCCAATGCCTCAGGGAGCTCTACGCCAAAAACCCCGCCCTAACACCCTTAACTAGCTAGGTTGCCCAGTAACCTAGGATTAAAAAGGGTGCCCTTTTTTGCTTAAAGGGGTTTATAGGGGAACCTAGAGCCCCAAAAAAGGGAATAAGGGCACTACTGGGCATCCTAACTAGGGTTTAGAGTTTAGGGTTCGGGTATCAGACTTGGGGGGGCTCTCCATGGTACGCCCTAAACTCTTACCTGAACCCCTACAGCATTGATCCCCCACCCCCCCCCCCGGTCACACTCTAGTACGAAATATCCACATTGCCGGTTCTGATCACACGCGGAGTATCGAATTTATTGAGGGAGGGGGGTTCAAGGGGGGTATGTAACCCCACTACTCCCTAAGGCTCTCTAAGGATCCCTAGGTACCTATCCCAAGCCCTAAAGCCTAAAGCCTAAACCCTAAACCCTCAACCCTAACCCCCGATGAACCCCCCATCCCTTAAGGACGAGGTACGTTTAGCTTCAGGGGGCCAAAAATCAACAGTTGAGTCGACGTGTCCTCGTCATCGGCATATTGCCGATTGATCTCGTCCAACTGTGGCGTCAGCATCCTGGCTGGATGACCCTAAACCCTACCCCTAAACGCTAAACCCGAAACCCCTAAACCCTAAAACCCTAAGCAGCTTCTGAAGGCCTCCACTCGGAGACGCACACACACACAGACACATCCCCAACCACCCTAAACCCTAAACCCTAAAAATCTTTTTGAAAAATCAATTCGTCCAATCCAGCCACCAAATCCAACCCGAAGTCCTGCAAGGGAAATTGAGATTTAAGGGCCCTGCCCCCTCCTTCGCAGGTTCGCAACGAGCTTGCTTTGCGGTTTAGGTTTAGGGCTTCCTTTGCTAGCCAAAGACTGCCGACCTCCGCAGGGTTTGGGGTTTAGGGTTTGGGGTTTGGGGTTCAGGGGTTTTTTTTTGCCACCCGCCTAGCTGACACTCTGGTTCAGGGTTTAGGGTTTAGGGTTTGGGGTTTAGGGGTTAGGGGTTTAGGGCTTGGAGCAGACACGCCCGACTCTGCCCAGCCTGAGCCTGCACGCTGGGAAAGCAAACTTGAGGATGTTGCCCGAAACCCTGAACACCCTAAACCCTAAACCCCAAACCCTAAACCCCAAACCCCAAACCCTAACCCAAACCCTGAACACCCTAAACCCCAAACCCTAAACCCTAAAGCTCTCCTAAACCCCCTAAAGCCCTCAATCCTATATAAGCTCATGGGTACGCTATCTGGGGCACGCTGCCATGCGTGAACCGGCAACCTGCCTTAGAAGCGGAGATCTTGCACGCGTATAGGGTTTAGGGTTTATGGTTTAGGGCTTCATGAACCTTAAAACCATCAAGATGAAAAGAACTCCGAGCAGCTGTAGCATTGCAGTCGTTCGCAACGCCGGCTGCTGCAGCGGAAATGTTACAACCTGCTTGAGCGTGCACCGGGTTCTGGGGTTGAATCGTTTAGGCTTATGAAGGTAGCTTCTTTCGCTACACCCGCTGCGTCCCAGAACGTAAGCCCAAAACAATATAAGCCCTCAGCCCTGTACCCTTAACCCGAAGCCCTGCCTCAACCCTACTCTACCCTGCACGACGCAGCCGCGAAACCCAAAACCCTCGACCCTGACCCTAAACCCTAAACCCTAAACCCTAAACCCTAAACCCTAAACCTTCAACCCTCAACCCTCAACCCTCAACCCTCAACCCTAAACCCTAAACCCCCTACAGCGCCCCATAGCGCCTTGATAAAGATGGTGTACAGGATGACTGCTGCACCAGCAGATCCAATCACACTGTCGATGGCCTCTGGGTGATGTGTCCAAGGGTTTAGGGTTTAGGGTTCAGGGTTCAGGGTTCAAGGTTTAGGGATTAGGGCTTTTCCCAGATCCCCCGGCAACCGAAGCTGGGAAGAAGCAAAGGGGCCTAGTTCTTCGCGTAACAAGGTTTATAAGGCCCTCAAGCCAATGACATCCCAAACCCTAGACCCGTTTTGAACCCTAAACCCTAAACCCTTTTTGAACCCTACAAGAAGGGACTAAGTAAGGCTCACACTTTGGCAAGCGAGGTTTCGGCTTCCAACAGCACCCTGTTACTCCTTCGCATGCTCAACTTCGTAAGTGGGGTTAGCAAGGCTGGGTTGTGGGGATTCCCATCAGGGGTTTCTAAGGGGATACTAAGTCGACTTATCAAGTCAAACGAGCTTCCAAGTAGGGTCTAGGGTTTAGGTTGTCTTGAGGGCTTTTGACTCTGTGGGAGAAAAAAGAAGGGCTTCGGGGCAAGCGGTTGAATTCAGGGACACTCGATTTGGGATGTTCCTCCTTGCACTAACAGTCCTTACTAGGGACTATAATCGGGGGTACTATAATCCCTATTGAGGACTGTTAGTATCAGGGGCATCCAACCCCTAAACCCTAAACCCTGAACCATCGATCATTCTCCCGAAAACCCGCCATCGCCTCGATGATGTTGGCATTCAAGCTGACAAAGGGGTCGAACCAATCACCACCATCCTAGCCAGGTGCAAGAAACGACTCCTGGTTGGTGCTTTGCTGCTGCAGGTTAACCCCTTTAGGCCTAAACCATAAACCCCGAACCCGAAACCCTGAGTTTGCCTCTGCTGGGACAACAACCGCGTCTAAAGAACTGGAAGCCCAAAAAAAGCAAACCGATACCCCTTCCCGAGCCTTCCCTACTTTCCAAACCTTCAGCCTCTCCCTCTCTCTTCTTCTTCTTCTTCTTCTTCTTCTTCTTCTTCTTCTTCTTCTTCTTCTTTGTCTTCTTCTTCTACCGGGCATGGAGGACAGGGCAGAAGTCCCTGAACCTCCGCGCGCTGGGCGCGCCCTTGATGTCACAGCTCGAGTCGGCGTGAGACGACAAGCTCTCTCTCTCTGTCTCTCTCTCTCTCTCTCTCTCTCTCTCTCTCGCTTTCTCTATATATATATATACATATATATATATATGTAAACATATGCATTTGTCTTTATGCATTTCTGTATTTACATGGTATGTATGTATGTATGTATGTATGTATGTATGTATGTATGTATGTATGTATGTATGTGTATATATATATATGTATGTATATATATATATATATATATCAATATTTATAGGTATAAAAACCACCAACCCCTAAATCAATAAACCCTCAGCGGGAACCGATGGCCTCTGCCACGGCCGCCGTGGGCACCGCCAGCAGTGTGGCGACGGCGGCTTTGGTCCAGCTCTCTGAGCCACCAGGCCCTGATCTTCAATTGACTTCCTTTTGCAAATACATATACTTGTACATAGTATGTCGTCAACATCTATATATATATATATACATATATTCTAAAAATATATAAAGAATGATGTCTAGATAGCGAGTCACCGTTCCTTCGGTTTTTTGTTTTTTGGCGTTTGTTTAGACCTATTTGTGTAGCTTTCTAATCGGCTTAGATAACTTCTTACAGTTTTTGTGAAAAGGGTCTTTGAAGGTCATATATGCTCTTATAAAGGGCTTTATTTTTTTGGGTTTAGGGTTTGTCTCTGAGGCTCCCCCCACCCCTTTTTATAGCCCAAGTGGCAGTCCTATGAAAAACCAACCCTCCGAAAGCATCTGAAAAGGTTTTAGTAGTTTAGGATTTAGGGTTCAGGGTTTAGGGTTTAAAGACCCTAAACCCTAAACCCTGAACCCTGAACCCTGAACCCTAAACCCCAGACACTGTCCGGATGGCCCAAGGGGCGGCCGGTTTGCACCAGAAGCTCTTGTGCCGGCGCTCTTGCTGAGATCCTCGCTGTCTCAAGGGAGAGCATGGAGGGTTTAAGGGTTTAGGGGGTTTAGGGTTTAGGGTTGAGGATTTATGGGGTTTAGGGTTTGGGGTTTGGTGTTTGGGGTTTAAGACAGTTTAAGATTTATAGCGTTTAGGGACCTGGCAGTTGTTGGCTTAGGCTTTTGTTGGGCTACTTGAGGATTTGAGGGGCCTGAAAGGTGTTGGGGCTCTAGGAGTTTCAGATGGCGTTTAGACGTCGGGTTCGGGCTTGCAAGGGGCCTAACCGCCTTTTTGGAAAGGGTTGGGGCCCAGGGGTTAGGGCCCCGGCATGCGCAGAAGCCCTGAAACCCTAAACCCCAAACCCTAAACCCCAAACCGCAAACCCTAAACCCTAAACCCTAAACCTTTTGGAGCCCAAAGCCCCAAAGCAAGCCCCTGCGACCCAGGGCTCGGCACAAACTGTTGGGAGGACGCCGCGCGCCAGCTGCCCCATGCGGCCAGGGCCGCCAAGAGGCCTGAGGTTTAGGGTTTAGGGTTTAGGGTTTAGGGTTTAGGGTTTAGGGTTTAGGGTTTAGGGTTAAGACTCCAGAGGTATCACAAGTAACCGAAACAGGTTGGAACTTCTTGCTCTGGGTTCCTCACGTTGGGCTGTTCCCCCTTGTACTAACAGTCCTTCGGAGGGATTATAGTACCCCTACTGTAATCCCATTAAGGACTGTCAGAAAGGAAAGGGTGAACATGCCAATCCTCCTGTCTTCTTCACAGGGACTTCAAAAGTGACTTTGGTCTGAACCTAGACCGAGGCTTGAATTTGTTGGTGCAATTAGGCTCGGATTACGGCAAAATTGCGAGGGCTTAAGAAGCCACCCTCCCTCCCCCCCCCTCCCCAAAAGAAAGAACAGGTTCTTCCTTAAAAGGGCAACACAGGGCTTACTCTCCCTAGAAGGGGTGATCTTGGGATTCTGCTCCATGATCTAAGGATCGCGTGAGGCGCCTGGTGGCTCTTGCAGTCTTTTCGGGTTTAGGGTTTAGGGTTTAGGGTTCAGGGTTTAGGGTAGGGTCAGAGCAATACTTGGAGGTTCATGGTAGTTATTAACCAGCTCTAACTGTACTTATGACTGTACTTATAACCATGTTAGGGCACTTAAGGGGCGTATTCGTGGGTTAAAACGTGCAGTTTTTGTTGGATTTATAGGTACCACGAACCTCCAAGTAGGCGAGAGGGCTATATCTGGAAGTTCTTGGGCAATCACGATCATGAGCTCCAAAGCCAACACCCATCAACACCCCTAAACTAAACCCCAGCACGCTCAATCCTATGAAGCCTCTAGCCTATGACCGACCCCGGAAAATTCAGGATACCCAGAGAGCCCAATACCCCTTGATTAAGGAATAGATTATCAATGGATCCTGAATATGTTTTCCTTATGTAAGGGGTATTGGGCTCTTTGGAGAACTTCAGGTCTCGGATTCATGCCGCCCGGAGGGCATACGGTGGGCGTTCGCAGGCGCCCGCGCCCGCGCGGCATGGCAGCCAGAACGGCTCTTTGGCGCGCAGAGGAAGGAAGTTTGGCCCTAGCTGAGCCAGAGGAAGTCGCGGCGGGAGGATCTTGTAGGGTGGAGCGAGGGGTTTAGGGTTTAGGGTTTAGGGTTTAGGGTTTAGGGGGTTAGGGGGGCTATAGGGTGTCAAGCACCAGGCTCACCATCTATGGCCGCAGGACATCCCAGGCTTAACCCCTTCTGTTCTGACAAAAAAAAAGCTACAACTGAACGACCGCTGGCACCCAATTCCCACAATGAAGGAGTGTCCCAAAATACCATCCAAACAACAATCTTGCTTAGTAGAGCTTTGTCAGAAGGGCGACATGGTTAAGGATTCTGTGGTTAGCCCGATGCCCGAAGGACAACCTTGGTTGGTAGGGCTTTGTCGGTAGGGTGACATGGTTCAGGATTCTGTGGTTAGCCCGATGATAGAAGGACTGGCTTCGCAACCCTAAACCCTAAACCCTAAACCCTAAACCCTTTTTTAACACGGACCTCTGAAGCATAAACCCTTTTTTATCGCGGACCTCTGAAGCCTGAACCCTAAACCCTAAACCCTAAACCCTAAACCCTACTCCCTAAACCCTAAACCCTAAACCCAATCTCCCTAAACCCAATCTCTCGTGTCTCTCCTGCAAATCCCCAAAACCCCAAGAAGCCTCCGAAGGCCACCTGGGATCCGCGCGGCTTCGCGCAGTTCTCTACTACCAAAGCAGGGGACCTCCCACGGCCCAGCATCTTACTGCATTGTAGTAGAGGATGCATCTTACTGCATCGTAGTAGGGGAATTTAGGGTTTAGGGTTTAGGTTGCCCACATCTTACTGGTTCGTAGTCCGGAATTTTGGGTTTAGAGCTTAGGGAATTTAAGCAACTTAGGGTTTTTTTAAGGGAATCTAGGTTTGGAGAATTCCGGGAATTTAGGGGTTCAGAGGTATCCTATGTTCCCCGAAATATACCCCTTACAGGGTACCTAATTCCCCCAGTCCCTGCTAAAGACCAGGGCGACACCCTCCACCCACATAGGTTTCGGGTTGTTTTTTGGGCTTGGAAATTTGACGTCTACACTAGCTGTGGCGGGCCACTGTTTGGGGTAGGTCTTCTCGCAAGTATCTCCTAAACAACCCCCTGTATCACCGCAAAATAGCCCCTACTTCATGTCAGAGTACAGCAAGGCCAGGAGGTTTTTCAAAACCCCCCCGCCAGCCCAGAACCCACGAATCGGTGGAAGAGGGCTAATCACTATTTATATACATATATATATGGGTATATATATATGCTCGCCCCCCCCCCATGATCCACACATTTGGCCTCGGGAAGGGGGTTTGGGGAGGGGGGGGACTCCAGACTCCAGATTTCCAGAAAAAATCTGGAGTATGCCGGACTCCAGACTCCAGATGTCCAGAAAAAAATCTGGAGTACACCCAGACTCCAGACTCCAGATTTCCAGAAAATATCTGGAGTACCCGGGCCCCGGACTCCAGACTCCAGATTTCCAGAAAAAATCTGGAGTACCTCCAGACTCCAGACTCCAGATTTCCAGAAAAAATCTGGAGTACCGGGACCCTGGACTCCAGATTCTGGAGTCTGTAATCTGGAGTCTGGGGCCCGGGTACTCCAGATTTTTTCTGGAAATCTGGAGTCTGGAGTCCGGGGCCCGGGTACTCCAGATTTTTTCTGGAAATCTGGAGTCTGGAGGGCGGGGCCCCGGTACTCCAGATTTTTTCTGGAAATCTGGAGTCTGGAGTCCGGGGCCCCGGTACTCCAGATTTTTTCTGGAAATCTGGAGTCTGGAGGGCGGGGCCCCGGTACTCCAGATTTTTTCTGGAAATCTGGAGTCTGGAGTCCGGGGCCCGGGTACTCCAGAATTTTTCTGGAAATCTGGAGTCTGGAGTCCGGGGCCCGGGTACTCCAGATTTTAGTGGAAATCTGGAGTCGGGAGTCCGGGGCCGGGGTACTCCAGATTTTTTCTGGAAATCTAGTGTTTGGAGTCCGGGGCCCGGGTACTCCAGATTTTTTCTGGAAATCTAGTGTCTGGAGTCCGGGGCCCGGGTACTCCAGATTTTTTCTGGAAATCTAGTGTTTAGGTTTTAGTGTGTAGGTTTCAGGGTTTAGTGTTTTGTGTTTAGGGTTGAGTGTTAAGTTAAGGGTTTAGGGTTTAGGGTCAAGCGGCTCGGCTAAACCCCAAATAAAACCCTAAACTTTGAAACCCTAACAGTAAGCATCTGAAACCCCGACGGGTTTTTGGTTTCAGGTTTAGATTTAGTAGGGCTCGAGGTTCCGGCTTTGGGGTTTACTGTTTAAGGTTTAGGGTTTAGTGTTCAGGGCTTAGTGTCTAATGTTTAGGGTTTAGTTTGAAATATGTAAGGTTTAGTTCTTGGGTTAAGTGCTTAAGTGTTTAGGGTTTCGTGCTAAGTGTTTGGGGTTTGTGCTAGGGCTTAGTGTTAAGTTGTTAGGGCTAGTGTTTAGGGTTTAGTGTTAAAGGTTTCGGGTTTGGTTTTTAGGTTAAGGGATTTAAGGGTTTTACAAATTTGAATGATCTGGGGAAGGCACCGGGGCTTCCCCAGACCATTGACAACTTGAAAAATCCTTCTGTTTCGGGTTTAGGGTTTAGTTTTCAGGGTTTAGTGTGTAGGGTTTAGTGTGTAATGTTTAGGGTTTAGTGCTTAGGGTGTAGTGGTTTAGTGTTTAGTAAGGGTTTAGTGCTTAAGTGTTTAGGGTTTCGTGTTCAGTGTTTGGGGTTCGTGCTAAAGGCTTAGTGTTAAGCTTTTAGGGTTAGTGTTTAGGGTCTAGTGCTGAGTGTTTAGGGTTCAGTGCTAAGCGTTTCGTTTTTTTTGGGGTTGCGCGGTTTTTAAGGATTTTTACTGGTGTTCAGGGTTTAGTGTGTAGGGTTTAGTGTGTAATGTTTAGGGTTTAGGTTTTTAGGGTGTAGTCTTTAAGTGTTCAGGGTTTAGTGTTTAGGGTCTAGTGCTTAAGTGTTTAGGGTTTCCTGTTAAGTGTTTGGGGTTTGTGCTAAGGGCTTAGTGTTAAGTTGTTAGGGTTAGTGTTTAGGGTCTGGTGCTGAGTGTTTAGGGTTTAGTAGTGCTTAAGTGTTTAGGGTTTCGTGTCAAGTGTTTGGGGTTCGTGGGCCTAGTGTTAAGTTTTGAGGGTTAGTGTTTAGGGTCTAGTGCTGAGTGTTTAGGGTTTAGTGCTAAGGGTTTCGGGTTTGGTTTTTTGGATTAAGGGTTTAAAGGGTTTTTACTAGTGCTCAGGGTTTAGTGTGTAATGCTTAAAGTTTAGTTTTTAGGGTGTAGTCTGTAAGTGTTTAGGGTTTAGTGTTTAGGGTCTAGTGCTTAAGTGTTTAGGGTTTCATGTTAAGTGTTTGGGGTTTGTGCTAAGGGCTTAGTGTTAAGTTTTTGGGTGTGTTTAGGGTCTGGTGCTGAGTGTTTAGGGTTTAGTGTTAAGGGTTTCGGGTTTGGTTTTTAGGGTTAAGGGGTTTAAGGGTTTTTGCAAGTTTACATGATCTGGGGAAGGCACTGGGGCTTCCCCAGACCATCTAAACTTTTAAAATCCTTAAAATCTTATTAAAATCTTTAAGCTTCTGTTTAAACATTCTCAGGATTATGAAGGTTTTAAGCCTTTTAAAGACCTTACATTGCTTACGTATGTAATGTAAGTGGCTGCCCTTTGCGGATTTTCGAGATTTTTGAAGATGCCTTTGGTCTGGAGAAGCCCCGTTGCTTTCCCCAGACAATATAAATTTTTACAAATCCGTAAAACCCTGAAATTCTTACAGTTGCAAATGGCTGTCCTTTTAAACTTTATAAAGATTTTTTGGATGTTCAATTCTAAAATCCGTAACTTCCTGAATTTCGAACGGCTGCCCGTTTTAAATTTTAAGGAATTTTAGACTTTTAAGGGATAAACGTTTCGAGCTTGTTTAAGGGCTTTAATGCCTTTTAAGATCCTTTAAATCTTGAAGTTTTTGAAAGGCTTTAAATACCTTAAAGCCCTTCAAATTTGAAAAGGGCTGCCCCTTTTAAGGACTTTTTAAATTGCAAATGGTCTGGGGAAGCCCCGGTGCCTTCTACAGATCATCTAAATTTTCACAAACCCCTAAAACCCTGAAAAGCCTTAAACTTCTAAATGGCTACCCTTCTAAAATTTTATGGAGCCGCAAGACACAAGTTTCAGAAGCAAAATGCACATTAAAAACACTAGTGTTTTCATAGAGGATAATATAATGGAGCTTTTTGTATTCCAGTGCAGTTTTTACTGCATTTTCCCGAGGAAAAAGCAGAAAATCAGACAAAGACGAAGACAGGAAAACCATAGGTGTGGATCATGGGGGGGGGCTGACCATATATATATATATATATATACGTATGTATATGTGTGTATATATACACATACATACATACATACATACATACATACATACATACATATATATATATATTCTGTATGTTCTATATATATACACATCAATACATACATACATATACATGCTGTCGGCATGTAGGTAGTTCCATGTGACATGCCACGGTAGATAGCGCCACGCTCTGCAAAGAAACACACACACACACTCACACTCACATGTAAGGGCTGTTAGTTTAAATGGGGAACATTCCAATTCGGCCCTCTTTACCCCTGCCTCTGCAATGACAGGTCTGCCCTGCAAGTTCTTGCAGGAGGTTTGCTGCTGCGAAGTCATGACAGTCCTTCCTCCTCCCTTCCTCAGCCACAAAACCCGAATCTGCTTAAGCCGCCGAACCCCTATATGACACCTAATAAACTCGTATAACAAAACCCACACCAAAGATTCCGATCGAAAGCCGCAAGCCCTGACTCCACAACATGTCCGGGCTCATATGCCACACGCAATACGTGGAGCGCCTTGCTACTCGTACCTAACCCTAAACCGCCTCACTGATGCCAAAAAAGTCCTGCTAGAACAATCTTCGTCCCACTCCTCCCCCAAAGAGCCCGAAAGTAGCTGCTTTTTAAACTTTGCCCTCATTTGCATTGCCAAGTTCAGCAAGCACCCTTTCGTGCCCTGCTCCTACTTCTGCGCACACCCAGAATCCTGCAACCTCATTTCAGGAACAAGACCGATTCACCACCCTGATTCACAACAAAATCGACAATAAACAACAATGGTTCAGGGTTTAGGTGTCTGTGCGTGTCCTAAGATCTCGCCATATGATAGTGGTGAGGTCGGGGGGTGGGGGAGGAGGCAGCCAAAGAACCCTAAATCTCATTTATTAGGGTTTAGGGTTTAGGGCTCAGGGATTACGACCAGTTTAGTGTAGGGTTTAGGGGTTCAGGCTCTGCACGTGTGCTTCATAGGGGCGTTAAGGATTAAACATAGGTATTTGGGGTTAGTATAGCGTAATTGTATAGGGGGCCGCAAGGGAATACTCTTCTTTTTTCCAACCCTATGAGGTGTAGAGCGTTTGAGGATGGCGCCGAAATCTGGGCAGAAAGGGCCTCATGTGAGCCTGTGCCTGAGGTTCCTGTTCGGGTTCCTTTCTGAGGGATATGGTATACTGCATCACAGAAGGTACTACATAGGTAGGGCTTGGGTTCTTTTTTTGGGTTTGTAAGGGGGTTATCGTATACCACACCACAAAAGTACTCCATTAGGAGCAAACCCTAAACCCTAAACCCTAAGCCCTAAACCCTAAACCCTAAACCCTAAACCCTAAACCCAGGTTTGGGGCTTCAACTCCATGGGGTTCCGCGGCGCTCGCAGCTTCTGTTCGCAAGGGGGCCGCTGTCCGCCCCACGGAAGAATGGGACAGCATGGGCCCCGATGCCCAAAGAGCCCAATACCCGTTTAGGGTTTAGGGTTTAGGGTTTAGGGTTTAGGGTTTAGGGTTTAGGGTTTAGGGCTAATGTATATAGGGACTCTTGATATGGGGGGTTTAGATCATGATCCCTAGTATAGACCCCCAAAATAGTAGGAGCCCCTTATAGTAAGGACCCCAGAAGGTAACCCCGCGCGATGATTGAAGTAAGGGGCATTGGACTCGTTGGGTGGCTGTAGTTCTGGGACAGCGTTGTCTGGGGGGCAGTCTTCTCAGCTGGTTTGTCGAAGCAGCCGCATGTGTTTAATTTTTCCTAAACCCTTAACACTAGAGGGTTTAGGGTTTATGGGTTAGGGTTTTTTCTAGTAGTCAATTGCAAACCCGGTGGATAAGGACAACTAGACTCTCTGGGGGCCCTTTAGAATAAGACCCTTGGGGCTTTACAGGATTTTCGCCAGATCCGCTTTCAAGATCCCCCCCCCCAGAAGCTGTCAGTGGCTCTTGTCGCCGCGCAAAGTCTTTTCTATGGACTGTAGGACTTCAGGGTCGTCTGCATTGTTGAGGTTGACGTCGAAGCTGCTGTCCTTGCAGGGCTCCCAGGTCATGGTGGTTGCATGGAGCGCTGCTATATGTAAGGGGTATCTGCTATGACTATGGATTCGCAAATGTGCCTGAGCCCCCGTCTTGCAACACCTGCATGAGTGGCTTGTCGGTTTCGTCTTGACGCAGAGTACAGGAATGCTGCATCTTTCAGCTTTGCGATTAATCTGATGAGGGGGGGCGCTGCGCTCCAGACTCTCCTCCTGCGAGTTGGCTCGGAGCGCATCTGTTTCGCACAACTATACGGTGCCCAATATACGGCCTAACTTCCTAACTGATTCGCTCTTTGGGCTGCTATTGAAAGTAACTCTCTACATAACATAGAGAGAGAGAGAGGGGAGAGAGAGAGAGAGAGAGGAGAACCCTCAAGCAACAACATGCGAACCCTCAAGCAGCAACATGCGAGCCCCAAAACTCCCGAAGCCTAAGCACAACACCCCCTTACTGAAACAAGGAAAAGCACACCCTAGAAAAACCCAAACAAAAACACCTTTGAACCTACATTGACGACACCAAACTAACAAAGTCTCAAACCAAGACGCTACTTCGCCACACAAAGACACGGAAACAACCCTCCAAGCCCGGGAGCCCAAAAATGTCCTAAAAGTCCTGAAACCCTAAAACCCTGAAACCCTAAAACCCTAAAACCCTAAAGCCCTAAACACCCTGAGACCGAAGAAACCCTAACACCCTAAACCCTCAACCCCTCAATCCCTAAAACCTCCCCCCTCCAAAAAAAAAAACCTAAAACCCTAAAAGCCTCAAAACCAAAAACACCCCTTAAAACCCCACAAACCCCAAAACCCTAAAGCCCTAAAGCCCTAAAAACCCTACAAACCCCAAAACGCTCCAGCCCTCAAGCCCTAAAAACCCTACAAACCCCAAAACCCTCAAGCCCTAAAGCCCTAAAAACCCTACAGACCCCAAAACCCTCCAAACCCCAAAACCCTCAAGCCCCAAAGCACTACTCAACCAAAAACACCACGTAAAAACCCTACAAATCCCAAAACCCCTCAAGCCCTAAAAGCCCACTCAAGTCGGGGTCTCCAGCTTCACCATGAGGGGAAGCCATGCCTTGAGCATCTCCACCTGGTGGGGTTCGGGGAGGTTTGGGGTTTAGGGTTTAGGGTTTAGGGTTTAGGGTTTTAGGGTTTAGGGTTTAGGGCTTAGGGTTTAGGGTTTAGGGTTTAGGGTCTGGGGCGGGGGGGGGGGGGGGGGGGGGCGAGGGTTTTCAACTTAGGGGGGGCACTTCAAAGTGCAGTTTGTCTCGAACTTAGGCGGCTTCTAAAGTACAGTTTGTACAGTTATAATTGGGGCTAGAAGTACCCTGAACCCCTAAGCAAGGTTTAGTTTTTTAGCCTCGCAAGCACACTGCAGGGATGCAACATGTCCAACTTCAGTCTGTGTAGTGTCCGGAAAACACGGACAGTGGCTTGACAAAAAGGATTCGTGGTTCAATCTACACGACTGTTTTCTAATGTGAGGACACCATGGCGGCATGACGATGTTCCAAAGGTGCCAGCGACTCAGGTTTAGGGTTCAGGGTTTACCCTAAACCCTAAAATCCAGGCTCGTACCTGCCTCGCTCCAAACACACCACGCCGAGCTTCCCGAGACCCGAAACCCTGAAAACCCCAGCGGAGTGTCCCAAAAGTATCCTCAGAAATAGGTGTATGGGCTTAAGGCTTAGGGCTTAGGGCTTAGGGTTTAGGGGTAAATTCTGTAGAATCCGTCAGCCCTAAACCCAAGTCCCGATGATTATACATCAACGGATGCTGGCTATCGTGGTGGAGGGGCAAGTCTCAAGTAACTACAGGAGGGGCCCTTCTCAGGGACCTTAAGGGTTATTTTATGGGCTACTTAGGTATGTAGGGACTATATGAGGTGTATATACATATATATATATATATATGTTTTAAGGTTTCGGGAGAGGCTTGGGGTTTGTGGGGGAGGGGGGGGGGGCTAGGGATTGCATTCGCAACAAAACAAGGCATGTCGGGTCAGCCAAACCTTGCTCGGGCGTGTGGTAAAGTTTTGCAATTGCAATGCCAGGCTCGATGGTGTTGATTGTCTGCTTTATCTCAGAAGCATCCATCCGCAGAATGGTGGTTTGATTGTTGCTACTCATCTGAATCGTCGTCATCTTCATCTTCATCCTCCGAAGGTTCGTCCCTGCACAACGGTGGCTGTGGGTTGGCGACTTCCCAGGAACGGAACGCGGCGACAAACTCATTTCGCTCCCGCTCTTCCGCGAACCAGAGTTCTGAGATATCAAGGCCTTCATACATGAACTCACCGCGCTCGACCAGGTAGCGTCGCGACAGGACCAACTTGTAGAGTGACTCTTGCTCAAGTCTCCTAGCATAGACCTTCTTGCCGTCACACAGAGGAATCCACCCTTCCGCGCCATTGAAATCAATGCGCCCAAGCACAAACTTCCTGTAAGGCCCCTTTGCCTCGCACGGCAACCGCACTTCCAAAACATCCACGGTAACACCCCGCTGAAGGGTGCCCAGTTCCTGGCGACAGTCCGAAGAAGCAAAAACGAGAGTGGGCCGAAGGTCTTGCAAACCGGTGATCTGGTAGCGACCAGGAGCATCCTTCCGTGGGCACGACATGTTTTTGCAAACTTCCAGCCTCAAAGTGCCTGAGTCTTTGTTTCCCCAGGTTTCTAGTTGTCTGTGGTGGGGGTCCTTTAAGCGCCCATAGCGCACCAAGTCAACGTGACCGATGAAGATACGAAGCTCATCGTTCATTGAAGGGCCAAGGTCTCTCTGCTCCATGGTAATCGTCACCCAGTCACCCTCCCACGTGCAAGCCTGATAGCGTTCATCTTCGCAGCGGTGGTCTAAATGGCATTTTACTCGCCCCGTGAACCTTACTTGCTGAGTTCATAAGCCCCCCCAAAAAAAGTGTACACTTTCAGTTCTTTGCGGGATTATAGTATCCCGAAAAGTGTCAAGTGTACTCACTCAGCTACTCAATTATAGCCCTAAACCCTAAACCCTAAACCCTAAACCCTAAACCCTAAACCCTAAACCCTAAACCCTAAACCCTAAACCCTAAACCAAGAAGCGTGGTCTGGAGAGCTGGCGCGAGCACCAGCTGTAAAGGCTCTCCGGTGGAGCAGAGCTCGGTCCTGCCATCGATCTGCCTGAACTTGTAGATCACTTCATCATCATCCTGGGTTGGCCTTATTTAAAGCCCCTAAAACAAACAAGTATATATATATATACATATATATCTATCTATCTATCTATCTATATATATATATATTTTTTTTTTGGGGCGCCCCTTATAAGCCTACTAGGCTGCCCAGCAACCTAGGATGAAAAAGGGTGCCCTTGTTTGCTTAAAGGGGTTTAGAAGGGAACCTAAACCTACCAAAAAGGGGAATAAGGGCACTACTGGGCATCCTAGCCTTATTTAAACCCCTCAAACAAATAAGCATATTTTGGGCGCCCCTTATAAGCCTAAATAAGGGAAATATAAAGAAACCCTAAACCCTAAACCCTAAACCCTAAACCCTAAACCCTAAACCCTAAACCCTAAACCCTAAACCCTAAACCCTAAACCTTTATATCCCAAAAGACAACCTAGCATCTTCCAGAGTCTCCGGCAAGCTGCTTGTGCGAATGAAGCGAAGACGGGCCGGCTTCACTCCCTTGGAGGCGGCCACCTTCGCAGGTCTTTGACGGGTTTAGGGTTTAGGGTTTAAGGTTTAGGGTTTAGGGTTTAGGGTTTAGGGTTTAGGGTTTAGGGTTTACCCACCTTGGCCCGCAGGTCTTTGATGGAGATCCTGGTGGCAAAGGACTCCACAAAGTCGCAGCTCTCGCCGGACAGACTGACCAAGCGCGTCCGCCGCGACTTTGACACGGGGCCAAGATCCGAGCCCTCAGCCATCTAGAGTTTAGGGTTTAGGGTTTAGGGTTTACGTGACACAATAGTAAGCAAGCTACCGCCTTGAACCACGCATGGATTCTGGGGAAACAGCTGCGGTCAGCACCTCTTTGCGCCGAGAGCACCGCTTCAAACCCATGTCACATGGCTACCATCCGGAACCCTGGCCCTAAACCCTAAACCCTAAACCCGAAACCCTAAACCCGAAACCCTAAACCCTAAACCCGAAGAGGATCTTTGGAAGGGCGTTTGGGTTGGTCTACCGTCGTGCTCCCGGTACTCTGGGTTTAGTGTTTAGGGTGTAGGGTTTAGGGTTTAGTTCCAGTACTTCTGCGTGCAATCGGCCACGTGTCTGTTGAGCTTCAATTCTCTCTGAGCCTGGAGACACTACGGTGAGCAACGGCCCGTGCCCACACTTGATGTCCAGAACACTGACATCACCCCATGGAACCGGATCCTAGACTTTCCCCCCCAAAACCCTATAAACCCTAAACCCTAAACCCTAAACCCTAAACCCTAAACCCTAAACCCTAAACGCACATACAGCACCGGGCATCCGGGTAAACCCCACCTCCACCGTCAACTCTTCGATCGTTGGCTCATCCACCATCTTGAACCTGCGCTTTAGGGTTTAGGGTTTAGGGTTTGGGATCTTCTACCCACAGCATGCTGAGACTCCTTTCGTTTCGGCTCTCACACTCGCACAAGGCAGGCAAGGATTCGGGGTTTAGGGCTCCGACCTAGAAGCCCTTTTTGACGTCTTTTTGTGGTTTGGGGTTTAGAGTCCAGGGTTTAGGGTTTTGAGGCCTCCGAGCTGTAAACCCCTTTAAGGGCCCTCTAAGAACCCTTTTAAAGGTCTTTGAGCCCTAAGCCCACCACAAAGCATGAATCTGACTGTCACGCTTCCAAGGGCGCTTCGTTCAACCCCCTTGGAGTTCATGAGACCAATTCATGTCACCCAGGAAACGAGGGTGCGGGTACATTTTTTGGTTGTCGGTTTCTCCAGAATCCAAAAAGTAACCCGGGCATAAACTTCTAAGGACTGGGACTTACCTCCAGACACCCTAAACTCTACACGTCTTATGTGGCTTCCTAGATGAGCTTGCATTCCTTGCGCTGCCTTCTTTGGAAGACGAACGGGTGAAACCGAAACACTATAAACCCCTAAGCTGATAAAGGCGTGGGGCCTCTTTATTTGTTACCCTCATACCTTTATCTACGTAGCCCCTAAAATAGGGTCCGGAATAAAAACAAAACAAGAGCGAAAAACAAAAAGCGAAAAGCAAAAGCAGAAACAACAACAAAGCAGAAGACCAGTGGCAACATACATAGAAAACACGAAAAAACAAAAAAACATACCCAAACAAAAAAATGCCTAAATAATGGGATCCCCCCTAAATGCCCTAATACGAACCCCACCTATCTGCCCTACTAAAGAGACCACCAACCCATACGAAGTAGGGTTGATATTCCTTGTATCCCCAAACGGACACCCAATACCTACGCTCACCAATATTAAAAAGGAAGCTTTTGGCACACTCACCAGTAACAGCAATATTCATGTAGAGTTTAGGGGATGTGGGGGTTTACGAAAACAAGGGACCCCCAAATAGCAATATAAACCCTGCTTCAAATAGCCCTAAACCTTAAACCCTAAACCCTAAACCCTAAGCCCTAACCTAAACCCTAAACCCTAAGCTTCAACAAAAGCCGAGAGGCGTCTTGGTACGAACTTTGTACATGTGGCCGCCCACATCCACAAGCTGACCATCTTGCTCGATGCCTGTGCGGAGTGAAGACCGGCGTAGGGAGGAGCGTTTAGGGTTAGGGTTTAAGGTTAAGCTTAAGGGTTTAGGGTTTAGGGTTGAGGGTTGAGGGTTTAGGGTTTGGGGTTTAGGGCTTCGGGCTTCGGGTTTAGGGTTGAGAGCGGCCTGTCATGGGGCCTGCGTTTTCCAGGTTGCATGTTTTGCGAATGTTGCGTGCACCCAGCATAAAAGTCGCGATCTTTTTGTCGAAGTATCCATGTCGACGATGATATTGTGATTTAAGCTTTGGGTTGTAGCCAGCTCAGAGAAGCGAGAATACTGTGAGCAAATATCCGTTCACTCCCTATGCCAAATCTTATTCGTCTAAAATGTTGGGCCAAACCTTATTCCTTTAAAAATAGTGGATCAAACTAAACATGGCAGGCCCTTCTTTTAGGGTTTTAGGGTTTAGGGTTTCGCACTGTATGCCGCCCTGCACCCGCAGCCTAGACCCATCACTCTCCTAGCTCTCCAGTGGCCCAACTTCTCAAAAACCCAGGGATCAAGGCCCCTGTATTTGGGCACCTCCTCACTCTACTTCCTTTCGAAAGGCCAGTAGCTTAGTGGGTCACAGCTGCCCCCCACCCCCCCAAAAGACTCGCGAAGAAGTCTGCACCTCGGGTTCAAAGACTGTCGGGGCTTAGGGTTTGAAGCTGAGGTTTAAAGGGTCTATATAAATATATGTGTATGTATATATGTATATATGTATATATGTATATATGTATATATGTATATATGTATGTATGTATATATGTATGTATGTATGTACGTATGTATGTATATGTATATCTATATCATATATCTCTATATATAAAGATGTATATATATATATATAGCACAAGCCAAGCGCATTCGACGGCAGGTCATGAAAGCACTTTAGGTGGGCTCCTCTTGTGGCATTCAGCCCTTTGGCAAAACCTCTGACCCCAAGCGCCGTGCTCACGCATCGGGACGGCCTAGACGACTATCGTTTAGGTTCAAGGTTGCGGCTTTAGGGTTTAGGGTTTAGGTTCAAAGGGTTGGGGTTGAAGGGGTTGAATGGGTTAGATGGGCTAGGGCCGTATAGGGGTCGGAAGAATTATAACACTGTTCCCGTATGATCCCCTTATATTAATACTACAAATTACAGGGGTGTGAAGACCGCAATGAGGGTTCGCGCCTCTCTCCTTCATGTAGTCTTCCATGGCACTCTGCGTGCCCAGCCGCTCGAAATCCTTGGACAACGCAGCAATCTTCAAGCACGCGCCCCCACGCCTAAAACCAGACTTTGACAGATGACGCCCGCAGCCCTCGAGCCTGCAAACCTTAAGCTATGGTTTCGGGATTCTCAGGGGCTTCAGCCCTATTTCAGCCAGTCTAGACACCACACTACCCACTTTCTGAGGGCCCTCATCCAGTCTTGCAAGCCCCTCAAGGGCCATGCTACTCATGCTTAAACCCTCAACACTAAACCTGAGATCGAAAGCAACGGTTTAGGGTTTAGGGTTTAGGGTTTAGGGTTTAGGGTTTAGGTTCCCTAAGTTGCCAGAGCGTCGGAGTCCCCAATGGAGATCACGTTCTTCCAGCTCTGGCCCTGCCCAGGCGGTCCGTCCCCTGAAACCCAAACCCTAAACCCTAAGCCCTAAACCCTAAGCCCTAAACCCTAAACCCTAAACCCTAAACCCTAAACCCCAAACCCTGAACCCTAAGCTGGGGGTGGAGGAGTTCCAGGGTTTGGGATTTACGAGGGCCCCCTCTCGTCTGGTATCCACAAGGCATCCTTTCGAGCCTTGCGACTAAAGGGGGGTTTAAGGTTTAAAGCGGTTTTCTGGGGGAGGTACGTGGGGAGTTCTAATTCTAGGTAGGGTAACCCTAAACCCTTAACCATAAACATCTGTCCGATGTGTTTGGAGCTTGAGGAGTCTGGGTGGGGGCAGAGAAGGAGCAGCTTTATGGTGACTGGGGGCTCAACAGCCTGTAGACCCCAAAATCTGGTTTGGGGTTTAGGGTTTAGGGTTTAGGGTTAAAATCTTAAAAGCCCGCAGACACCAGAGAGCCTAAGGGGAATTCACTATGAACATGTCGTGGGTGGCGCGACTTCTTGGCACGATGCCTTAAGGTTTAGGCTTCCAAGGCCTTGAGGACTTCAAAGAGCTTCATGTCCCGCCCCCCCCCCCATCATTCTTTGCAAACCCTCATCCACTGAACCCTAAACCCTAAACCCTAAAGAAATTCAGACCCTTGAGCCGCTTGGGAGGTGCCTCGTATTGGGAGTAGAACTGCCGACACTCGCGTGCCTGAGGGAGGGCATTTCACGGGCCATCACCGGATTTCTGGTTGGGGTTTCGGCTAACCCTGAACCGCAAGAACGATTCGGGAATCTATGCCCCAAAAGCACACACACACACACACCGTAAAATTGAAACCCTAAACCCTAAACCCTAAACCCTAAACCCTAAACCCCAAACCCAAAACCCTAGACCCTAAACCCTACACACACAACACCACCTCGGAAAGAAGAGGTGGTAAGCTTCGTGAGGACCCCTCAGTTTCGTAACATCCCCCTCCCCCCCCCCCAACAAAAAACTCCCCTCCCCCATACAAAAGGCCAAGAACAAAAAACAATTTGCAAAGGGATCCTAAATCTGATTAAAGGTGTATTCCTTACTAGGATGGCCCATACTTCCCCCCAAAAACAGACGCCTAAATATCATCCTTTTGAACCCAATAAGGGGAAACAAAAACTCAAAAGCCTACCTAGCTTACCCCTAAACCCTAAACCCTGTAAAACCTAAACCCTGAACCCTGAACCCTAAACCATAAACCCTAAAACCCTAATTAAGCAGCATTGATTAAAGGGCTATTGGGTTCTTTGTTGCTTTTCTCCCAGCCAAGGTGTAAAGCGCACCAGGCCACGATCGCTTTGCCCTTGACGGCACTCCAAAATCGCTCGATCTCCTGCGCTGCGCCAGTTCTGGGTTGCGGTTTAGGGTTTAGGGTTTAGGGTTTCGGGTTGAGGGTTTAGGATTTAGAGGTTTAGGGTTTAGGCTTAGGGTTTAGGTAGGGTTTAGGGTTTAGGGTTTAGGGCTTAGGGCTTAGGGCTTAGGGCTTAGGGCTTAGGGCTTAGGGCTTAGGGCTTAGGGCTTAGGGCTGAGGGCTTAGGGCTTAGGGTTTAGAGCTTAGTGTGCAACCAGGAGCGTTAAGCCTCCCAACCCAAAGTGCCCAATACCCCTCAATCATGTTTAGGATCCCTCATATATAAGTTTGAGGCATATTCCCCCCCCCCCCCCCCCTCATTGCACGTTGCAAGTAAGATACGCAGACCCAGACCCAGCGTGCGTCGGCCAAACGACGGCTTCAAAGGGGCACACGAGGCTTTTAGGGTTTAGGGTTGCGGGCCCCTGCTCCAAGCCAAATATTTGCTTGCCTGATGCTCCCCGCTTCAAGAAGCAGGCAGCCCTTTCGAAACTGGACTTACTGACTTCTAAACCCTAAACCCTAAACCCTAAACCCTAAACCCTGAACCCTGAACCCTAAACCCTAAACCCTAAACCCTAAACCCGAAAGAGCTCAGAGCTTTCTCCGCCCAGGGCTTCGGGTGTTTGCGGCCTTTGGTTCTTGGTTTGGTTCTTGGGTTTAGGGTCTTCGGGGTCTAGGCTTCAGGACCATTCAGGGCATTCAGAGCTGAGGGTTCTAGGGCCCTAGGGTTTTTTTGTTGTTCCGGGGCACCTGCGCCCTGACTAAACCCTAAACCCTAAGCCCTAAGCCCTAAGCCCTAAGCCCTAAGCCCTAAGCCCTAAGCCCTAAGCCCTAAGCCCTAAGCCCTCAACCCTAAACCCTAAACCCTATACCCTAAACGCCCGGCCTCGTCTGACGACATCTGCGACTTGCTGTAGTCCACCTGGATTCCCTCCTGGGCGTAGACGATTGGCACCTGCGCGCCGACCGTCTCGAATCCGGTGTTTGAGTTGAGGGGTCCTTAAGGGTTGAGGGTTATGATTGAGGGCTTAGGGCCTAGAGGGTTTACGAGGTTAGGGAGGGTTTAGACTCTGGTGTTTAAGTTACCTGTGGCAATATGTTAGGTGGTAAGCGGGTGAAGCCGGATTTCATGCCCTTTTGTCCTAATAGTGACAGGAAATGATTATTTAAATTCTTACGATGGTTCTTCTTACTATTGCAAAGAATGCGCGAACACCAAAGCAGAAGCTCTTTAATACTTGGCGAAAAAAGAAGGTGACATAATATTCTGCTTGCGTGCTCAATTGTAATAATGACGCGGGCCATTTGAGGTTTGGAGTCTATCCCACCTGCCCGGCTAACACTCAGAAGTGTTCAGGAAAGTACCCAGAGAGCCCAATACCCCTTAAGTGAAGAATATACCTCAAATCATATAAAGGATCCCTGTTATCATTTTAAGGCATATGGCTTCTTTAAGTTCAGGGGTATTGGGCTCTTTGGGTAGGCAGGACTTCGCATACTTGGCGCTCCACTTCAGGATGTGAAGGCTTCTAGAGAGCTGGTTGAGGGTGTTAGGGTCTTGCTCGGCTGGGGCATGGTCGGTCGACGCCTTTTCTTGCCCCCCTAAATTTTCATATTCCGGACTTGAGCAGTCGGCCGGAAATCAATATACAGCAACAGGACTGCACGACTCTATCCGGCAATGCGCGCGTAGAGAAGGACCATGTGAAACTCTCCAATGAGACCCTTTTTGAGCAACGGACTTTGGAGGCTGCCGGCAAACATGCAACTTCTCAGAAGTCACATCACGCAAAACATCACGCAAACTGTTCTATGCACCCATATCACCATGAGGAAGCATACGTGAATTGAGGAAAGAAATCTGCAACGCCGTCAAGATATCGAATAGTAAAATCCTAAGCCCTAAACCCTAAACCCTAAACCCTAAACACCTACCTGCCTTGAGCTGGTTGATGAGCCGACCGACCGAGACATAGAAGTTCCTGGGCGCCGGGATGACTTCGGACCCTGAAACCTCTACTCTGAACCCAGACTCCTTTAGGGTTTAGGGTTTAGGGTTTAGGGTTTAGGGTTTAGGGTTTAGGGTTTAGGGTTTAGGGACTAGGAAAAGGCCTACATAGACAACCTTGGTACCCCAGTAACCATATTATAATCAAGGTACCCTGTTTTGGGTTGGTTACTCTATAAGGGAACCTTGAACCAAAAGAGGGTAAAGGGGACCACTGGGCTAGTACGTAACTGGGAGTCTGGGAGCTTACAAGACCAGGAATCCGATGCCATGATGGGATCCCCTGCCAACGCTAAGCCCCAAAACCCTAAACCCTAAACCCTCAACCCTAAACCCTCAACCCTAAACCCTAAACCCTTCAAACCCTAAACCCTAAACCTTAAACCGGGTTTGGGGCTTGGGTGGCTTTGGGGCTTGGGCATGGCAGGGACTTAGGTGGCACAGGTTGGGCGAACTTCTGATGCTGACGCAGCACAGGAAGACATGGTGAGGGGTTCTTTTGACAACATGTATACATAACATGCATAGATTACATGTGCCTGCAATTGTGTGCCTATTCTAGATACATATACATGTACATATACACATACACTAAACCCTGAACCCTGAACCCGAAACCCTAAACCCTAAACCCCTAATGTTAACGTCGCTTTAATAAGCCCCCCCCCCCACGCCATCTTGTTTTGGTCCGTCAAAAAAAAGAGGGGGTGTCAATAAATGGAATCTGGGTTTTGTGGGGGTCTGGGGGGGGGGGGGGGTCTCAAAAGACAAGCAAATCTCAAACGAGATCTGCTTCTCTAAAGACTGAGCCTCGGAGCTCTTTCAAGCCAGCTCAGCTGAAAAGTCTTCTCTGCACTGGAACTCTTAGGCCAGTTTCAATAAAATTTTGCATTCCTGGCCGGAAAAATATTGCAGTTGTCACCCCATTATTATTCTCACCGGACCCCCCTATATAGACTTGTTTATAGATTTCAGCCCGGAAACCTCCCGCAATGGAAAGTAGTCTTCGGCTGGGGCCCTCTGGCCCGGCGAATATTGCAATTACCACCCCCATCAATGTGAGGTTAACTTTAACCCCTAAACCCTAAACCCAACCCCCCCCCCCCCCCCCAAGCATTACGGCGTGGCCAGCGTCTTGCAGGACTCGGAGACCCAGGGCGCGCGCGCCAAGGTCACCAGAACCACCTTGCCGAAGCTGCAAGCGCTCTTGAGGAGCTCCACCTTAGCTGAAATTTTTGGGTTTAGGGTTTAAGGTTTAGGGTTTGGGGTTTGGAGTGTTGGGTTTGGGTTTTGGTGTTCTAGGTTTAGGGTTTAGGGTTTAGGATTTAGGGTTTAGGGATTAGGGTTTAGGGTTTAGGGTTTAGGGCTTAGGAGGCTTGGTATAGGATTTGCAGGGCTTTGGGATGTTGGACTCGGGGGGGCTTAGGGTAAGGGTGGTTAGGGAACAAATTGACAGATTTTCGTCCCAAGAGTATGTGTGAGCTTCATAGGGGGACGCCTAAGGTTAGAGTTATGGCAGGTCTGTTTTGTTGCCGCACGTGGAAGCTTTCGGACACAAGGCGTTCTGCGCGAAAACGTGAGAATCTCTACAACACAGCAGTTTCAGCTATATGCTCTCTGGGAGTCAGAGACTCTCTCTCTCTCTCTCTCTCGCTCTCTCTGTTCTGTCTTTATCTCCAAACAAAACCTTCAACTTTCAACCCCCGAGATGCTCGTTGCAAGCAGACAAACCGAAACCACCACCAGCCTCTGGCAGGCTGAGGTGCGACATGCGCTGCGCACTGTTCGAGCTTCTTCCCCACATCGGCCTTTGCTTAGGATTTGGACTTGAGTGCTGCTTCCTCTCCGGAAGGGTTTGGGGTTGGGATGTTCCCCCCCAAAACTCACAGTCCTTACTAGGGCTTAGAATACTCCCTAAGGGCTGTTAGTGTACGGGGGAACATCCCGAAGGGTTTAGGGACCCTAAACCCTAAACCCTAAACCCTAAACCATAAACTTGCAAGATCCAACTAGGACAGCTTGTCAGTTTTGCCTTCGGCCAGCGGCCGGGCCACTCGGCTTTTTAGGGCTGCTTACTTACCAATTGCCTTCGAACCCCCCCCCCCCCAACAGAAAAAAAAAAAAAAAAACAGAAAAGCGTAAACATAAATAAAGCAATAACAAATACAATAATAAGCAACAAAAAACCTATATTGCCCTAGTAAGGAAGAATAAGTTGTGTTTTTTGGCGGGGCTCCCTCTATAACCCTTATGAGGAAGAAGAGCTTCCATTTTTTTTTTTGGGGGGGGGGGCTTCTTTCACCAAATAGCAGTTACAAGTACTTGGAGGTTCATGAGTACTTATTAACCAATGATAACTGTACTTAGAACTGTACTTATAACCATATTAGGGCACTTACGGGGCTGATAAGTGGGTTATAAGTCCAGTTCTAATTGGTTTATAAGTACCATGAACCTCCAAATGAGATCAGGTCAGAGCTTCTCCGGGAGATTACATGGAGGTTGAGGGTTTAGGGTTTAGGGTTTAGGTCAGTGTACAGTTTCGAGCTATAAGGTGATTGGGTACCAGAGAGGGCCCCAACAAGCGCGCGCCACACCAAGAGGCTAAAGCAAATTGCGACCACCCAGTCCTCTAAACCCCTTCTAGGCCCAAGAGTAACCTCGGTTTTGGGATGTTCCCCCTTCTACTAGCAGTCCATAACAGGTATTAGCCGCGATTATCAGGACTGTTAGGAACATCCCAAAACCAAGAGTCGAGAGTGGGGTTTAGGCTTCAGGGTTTTGTTATATGCAAGCCTAAACCCTAAAGTGGTAAATCCTCTGTGTGGCCTTCTCCGCCCACGTCAGCGACTGCTCTTTGAGTGGCTTGTTCCAACCTCATCGGTGCTTATCACGGTCTGCAGGTTTAGGGTTTAGGGTGAATGCGTAGGGGTTTTGAGAGTCCAGGTACCCTTTTTTCTTGCTCAACCAAAATCTTAAACGTCAATAACCCTAAACCCTAAACCCCGAAACCCTAAACCCTATCGACAACCCTATTAACCCCAACTACGACGCTCGGAAGCTCAAGTCCAAATCATCCCGGCCGTATTTAGGGCTCTTTAACGTTAAAAATAGACCTGAACCCTAAACCCTAAACCCTAAACCCTCCAAACCCTAAACCCTCCAGACCCCTAAGTTCGAAGATGGGAAGCTCAAGTCCAGGTCATCCCGGACGTAGGTGGTGGGGAAGAGGGTGTCGTCCCAGTCGAAGATGAGGAGCGTCTGGGCCTTGTCCTCGGACAGCCCCCGATTGGGGTATAGGGCTTTAAATCCTAAGCCCTAAACCCTAAACCCTAGACCCTAAACCCTAAACCCTAACCCTATAAACCCTAAATCCTGTACCCCTGTGTAACATTTCTGCGGGCACTATAAGCGCCTAAGAATCCAACTGTTGCACGGTTGGAGCTGCAAGGCATTTGCATGTTTAAATTGTAATTTCTTTTTCCTTTAGGGCTGAGGCTTAGGGCTTAGGACTTGTAGGCCTGCTTACACTGTTGGTGCCCCCAAGCAAGATCCACACATTCTGTCCAGCGAGGGCGTGTGCAAGATGTCCTTACAGGTGGTGATTGGGAGTGAGCCTATGTATGTGGGTGGCCTGAACCCAAATACACGAATCTTTGGAGTCTCTACATGTCTGTGGACCGACCGGGCCACCCTGTAAAGCCTAGAAGCCTCTGCGCACCGGACCGGGCGACCCGCAGCGTTTCAAGTTAATGTTTAGGGTTATCTACCCCAAGCCCGGACCTTTCTCACTCCTAAACGATATAAGCCCGGCCAAAGAAGCAAGCTCAATCTCCGAGGCACTGCGAAGAAGGCTTGTGAGTTGCGCCTCCCCAGAGGTGACGTCCCAAGTGTGCCTTGAGGCAATGCTTGTGAGGGTTTAGGGTTTAGCAACGCTATGAAGACATGCGCGTTTTACAAAACCCAAGCCCGTTTATGAATAGTTGATAAACCCAGGCCCCACAGTGCGCTGCAGCCCAGCAGAAATACATACGGCAAAGCCCCAAAGCCTTCAAAATCTCCCAGCGCCTCGGTCACCCTATCCTTCCACTCTTTCCCCTTCCCTCCTTCCGCTTCCCTCCTTCCCCTTCCCTCCCCCTCACCCCTTTCGCATGACCCCCGAGAAGTGTGCGTAGGTACGAGGGCCCACTGAATTTGGTGCAAGTAGAACATCACACAAAACTCACTTTATAAACAGAAATGCTCAAACAATAGACAAGTTTGCCTGAACAAGCAGTCATGCATGATTGGTCCTGACACACGCAAACATGTAGACGTACTAATTAACTTGAAGATATTCCAAATACAGGCTTCATCAGTGTATACTACCTTGTCGCACCGATCAGCAGCAGGATTCCTAGCTGAATCCGCGCGAGGTTATTTCTGGCAACACATGATAGTTTGCTATGGAATGCGAGGATCATCAGAACATAAGGGTGATGTAGGCGAGCGATATACACTCTATACTGTATAGATGGACATACATAAGAGAAAAAAATATACTCAAAACTTAAAGTTGGTTTGTTTGTAAAGCATACACGTATATGGTGACTCCCAAATTGTCGTCTTCGTTAGCGGCATTCCTGACATGCATAAAACAATGCAAAAAGTAGTGTTTTCATTCTTCCCAAGCCAGGAATCTTCTCCTCCAAAACAAATGTTGACGAGGGAGAGTTCTAAAGGTTTCGGAGTTTTCAAACCTTCAAGCCCCAAGCTTATAACCATGCTAACATTTGCTTTAGGTGGGCTTGCTTCTAAGCAGGGGTTTGCTGAGGCGAAACACAACGCATCTGCTGGCTCGGGCAGGGTGGGGGCAGCTTCTTCTCCGAGTAGCTTTTGCCGCTCACGTGCAGCATGAGCTCCTTTGACTTGCCATACCTTAAGGCAGCGGCAGAGCGTGCTCCGACTCTAAACCCTGAACCCTACGGTTTAGGGTTTAGGGTTGAGGGTTTAGGGTTCAGAGGTTCTGAGAAAAGTGAGCAGGGGTGCTTCTGATCAGTTTCGCGTATTCAGATGCACAGACCGGAAGGATGCTAGCGATGAAGAGAAC